AAAAATTACAGCTTTTTTGTTTTTTATTTTATTTATTTATTTTAATTCCTTAGAACACCGGCGACAACTCCATCATCTCCTCCACTTGCCCGGCGGCGCCTTCTTCAAACAGCCACTTTTCAAGAAAGGAAAGCGGCGGCGGCGGAGCTGCAGCCACCGCTGTGGAAGCGGCTGTCTCAGATCTTAACTTCTCTCCAACATTTTCCTCTTCATCCTTACAACTTGTCGTGGATTTCCCCCAGGAATTCACATTCTTCAAATTCTCAAACGACAACATCGAATCAAATTCTTCACCAGAAACCAACTCGCCGCCGTCCGCCTCCACTTTCAGCTGCTGCCTCGCGGTGGCGGTAGAATTCTCGCCGCCAATTTTCGGGCGAGATTCTTCCGGTGAAGATCTCATCCAACCTTGAAGAAGACGCGAAATGTTCTCGGCACTTGACGCGTACGTGGAAGCTTTGTTTCCGGCCGCAAGTTTATCATTAAAGCTCTTGGTCTGAAACTGACAACTGCCGGACTCCGATGGCTCCGGCAGGTCCACGGCGGCGGACTGCAACTTCTTAAGCTTCTTTTTCAAGTGGGTGTTCCAATAATTCTTGATGTCGTTATCCGTTCTCTGAGGAAGATACGAAGCTATGGCCGCCCACCTGTGAATCAAAATCACAAATCAGAGAGATAAAAACAAGAACAGAGCAATAAATTTTCACAAACACAGCAAAATTTCTAGTTCTTACTCTGTTTTTTGCTCAACCCACTTCTTGATTAAACGCATATCAAAATATTATCCAAAACCCATATCAAAACATGATATTGCAGAACAGAATTTGATAGAAAATATTATGAACATTATGAACATTACTTACTTGTTACCCAATAAAGCTTGAAGATGAATGATCATGCCCTCTTCATGAGGAGTGAAATTTCCTCTCTTAATTCCAGGTCTGAGGTAATTGGTCCATCTAAGCCTACAACTTTTGCTGCATCTCAACAATCCTAAAATGGGCACAAAAGATTATTGAAAAAAGGGAATTAAAAGTGAAGAGGGAGGAAGCTCTGTTTTGTTGGTACCTGTATTAGTAGGAACTGATCTCCAATTGCCAGGGCCATGTTCTTGAATATATGAGACCAGAATGATATCTTCTTCGGGCGTCCATGGACCCTTCTTGATACCCACTTTCTCACAGCAAGGAGGCCTTCCCATGGCCTTCTCTCTGTTTTTGACTCGATTCTTTGAGTTGGGTCTGGCTATAGCTATGGCTTGAATGCAATAATGAAGGTTTGGTTTAAAGAGAGATCAGAGAGCGGCCATGAACATGTGAAGAGCTTAAATATAGCTTAGAAAATGGCCTGAGATGAAAAGCTAAAAATGGTCTCTTGGATCTACCCAACCCACATCTGAATCAGTCGCCTCTTTATTGAACATCCAACAAAAGTCAGATCAGAAGAGGAGAAAAGGAGGTTTGATTTATGGTGATGCAACTTTTGAGAAGAAGACTTCATGAAAATTTATTAATATTTTTTAGATCACTGTGTGACGGTTGAGACAAGTAGCTGGTTTTCTCCAAAAAGGTGGGATCTTTCTCTACATGATCCAAGTAAAAAGTAAAACCTATTACTTCTTTACAGAAATTAGCTATGGCGATCTCGAGATCATGATGAAAAGAGTAAGAGAGTTGGTAATCATATGATATCTGTGTATAATAGAGAGATTATTATTATTCTTTTTTTTTTTTATCTCTTTTTTATATTGAGAGAGGAAATTGTCGTTTTAGATTGTCGCTTCAGACTAACCAAAAGTTACGTGTTGTGTATCCAATGATTTAAATAATGTTGCTTGAATATAAAATAGAGTTAACCTAGTTTTAATAAGCTTGTAATTGGATGATGTCTAGCCTTATTACATTAAGTATTTTTAGAGTGTTGAAATATAAGTCAAGCCTAGTTTCTATCACCCCTATCTCTGGGTGAAAGCTATAAATCACCAAGACTTACTTGGTAGCCTCGGTATACTTGACCAAACCTACCTACTCTGACCTAGCTCATCTTACTTCTCCAATTGGTTGGTATGGCTTCCACTGGTACCTGTTGTGTATGAGATGAGTCCACGTACTCAAGATAAGAAATTACTCCGTTAGGTCTTTTCGATTCAGAGTCGGCCGATAATAGACCTACTTACTTTGCTTGTAGACCATTAGCTAAAGTGACTTATGATCTCCCTTGATTGAGTTTGGACTCATATCACTCGACCTATTTACTTAGCTCGACTCCATATCTGTGATTCAAATTAAAAATCCTAATTCCCCTAATTTAAATCCTTAAAACTCAACCACCAAACTTTCATCACTGTCTAACTTTGAATTCACCTCACAGACTTGTCATCATACATTGAGGTTCATGATTAGGTTTATTAATTTCAAAAATATCATATTGATTCAATGTGATTTAATTATTTTCTTGAATATCACACTATACATCATCAATAGTAGATTTTCAAACTTTGCTACGTTACATCAATACATATCAATGACGAAGTTAGTCAACATGAATCTCCTACTATTTGACAAGAAAAACAACAATAATTTTTAACATGAAAAAATTGATGACATGACGAACACAAATAAAATGAGGGGGATCAAGTATGAAATGAGCTAAGAAGAGTAAGGAACAGTTTATTTTAAATAAAAATTCCTACTGAATCAGAAAACAGAGCAACAGATTACAAGAACCATGGCAGTGCTGTATCTATTAGAAATTCTCAAGGCCTCACTAAAAGTTATATTACAGACCAGTATCATCCTATTATGGCTATCCAAAACAAGTCCATTTAGCCACTCTCTCTATCCATCCATGCAGATTTAGAGGCAACAGTGTCTTCAAAGCTAAATCTAACGTCGTCAACTAAATAATGCTAGGAGGTACTCTACCCAACTTCCAATCTAATGGGAGAAAAGATTACCTGGCCATAGTAAAATTTCAAGGCAGCCGAGAATTCACCTTGGTTTCCAGTTTTCGATAGCATTACATTGGAAAAGCCTAAATCTAGCCACTTAATTCTTCCATCAGCATTGGACGAACCTCAGCTGCAACATGCCCTTTTAACTTGTTGGCAGGAGATGGACATAAACTAAAACTTCTACAGAACCAAAAAAAGTTCTACTAATTTACATGATAATACATATTCTGAAATGAACTCTCAGATGGCAGGTAGAAATGTGAATGCCTAATTTAACCTGTTTAAAGCTATTAATCCTTTAATTGAACATTTGCCCCAAGTAAACTCTACCTGGGAACTTACTGCCTAGGGACAGGTGGTGGTGTCGACTGCTGACCTTGCCCGTAGAAACCTATACCTGGTGGCCTGTAAAATCCTGCTGAAGTTGGCTGCGACTGCTGAGGCTGCTGTGGCTGTGGCTGTTGCTGAGGTGGCTGAGACGTCGGCCTACTCAAACCCATCACAATATGCGGAGGTAAAGGAGGTGGAGGTGGTAGAGAATATGCTCCAAAGTTATAAGGTAATACCCCCATTATTCCACCAGACTGAGCATATTGATTCACTGGTGGAGCTGGCGGAGGTGGTGGAGCAAATGAAGCTTGACTCTGGTTCGCCTGGGATACAGGCTGTATGTTTGCTGATTGTGCAAGAGCCACATTTGTCAATTGTTGTTGTTGCATAGGTGTAACAAATGACGCCCCAATTCCATCTGAACTATCAGAAATCGGCATTGGCTTCTCAAGTTTCTGTCGTTTTTCAGGAGAGAATATGGATAATGAAGCAAACCCAGCTGATTTTAGGCCACCATTCATGGAAGCAGCTTCTTCTGCAACAAGAGATGAAAGAACAGAGGTAAGCATCTGTGCTGAAGATGTAGAAGCAGCCAACTTTGCAGCAACAGCAGCAGCAGCAGCTCTCTTGTTTTCCTCTTCACTGCTTTTAGGACCAGCAGAAGAAACCATAGCCTGGACAAGAGGGGACTGAGAAGAGATTGTGTTTGATTGAGCTGAAGATAACTTAGCATCAGTCACATGGGTCATTTCTGTCAGTAGATCAATGCTAGTAGCAAGAGGACCAGGAACTGGACTCGCAATTCTCTTCCGAACATTACTTGCTAGCTCAATTTGAGATCGAGCTATCTGCAGATTCATAAGCAATAATTTCCAAGCAACATAAGCGAACAGAAATTAGAAAATACCAAACCCTCTAACTAATAGCTTTGCATTCCCCAACATATGAGATACAACTAATATGAGATGTCCGTCCATGTGAATGGCAGAGAACAATAAACAAGTTGATAGAGATGAATACAGTAAGCATCTGATATAGATTCATACATACTCGTTTTCATAAGACAAAATTAATGAAGTACATAACCAAGTGCTCTGTCGCTAGTACATAAACTTGGGGAAATGAACAGTGTACACAAACTAACTGCTCTCTCGCTCTCAAAGAAGTCCTTTCCAATTTATAAAAGTACAACGGTTATATCTTTATCCACAATACTTGAGCCAACTTCTCATAACACCTTGAAAAAGAATCACCTTATCAATTAATGCATTTTCTAGTTGAGAAAATTTGCTAATCAAAATACGATCTAAAAATTGCATTAGACAAGACCCAGGCCAAATTCTTGATGAAGGTTCACGGTAAATAAAATTTACAGCACAATTCAGTTTCTACAGCCTAAAATAGCTTAGCAATGACTAAGAAAATTGATATAAAAGTGGTTATTGTGAGAAGAGAAACAAGAAGTAAAAATTCTCAAATAATTGAACTCCTAGTAGTTTGAACTGTAATATTGGTATTCAAACTCGTTCATATCACATGATAGAGCAAATAAGTTGTGAATATGACAGCTAATGGATATGAAGCAACCCATAGCTTTTTTTTGGGCAAAAAGCAGAAAGGTAGAGAATTTTGAAGCTGGTCATTGAGAAAGCTTTTAACTGTTAGGATGCTATTGTTAGTTTGCAAATATGATGATACATGCTGGACATTTTAATCAAAGCAGTGGAAGTATATGAGAGATTTTCTGGTCTCAGAATCAATAGGAAGAAGTCGTCAATTAGTGGGATAAATATTGACAATGTCAAGTTGAATCAAGTTACTTCAAGGCTTCATTGCAAGATAGAATATTTGCCTTCTTTTATATCTTGGTCTCCCCCATGGAGGTCATCCCAAAAATGCATCCTTATGGCATCCCGTTAAGGAAAGAATTTTGAAGAAGTCGGATACATGGAAATGCTTCAAACTTTCGAGAGATGGTAGGCCAACACTTTGTAATTTAGTTCTCTCTAACTTGCCTTTATGCTACATGTCCCTTTTTCTTATTTCTTCAAACGTTTGTTTGGAGGTGGAAAGGAAATTGCGTTCATGGATTGTTCTAGTAGAATGATGATAGAAGCAAGCTCCATAAAGCTTTGAGATTGGAAGAGCTTTCCTTCAGATACATCATCTTTTTTTCCCGATGAAATCATTCTTTCCTCATCCACATGTATCTTGGCTCTTGACAGCCTTTTTCGCCTTGTTGACTCTTTTGAAAAGGCATGTGGATTGATTACAAATCATAAGAGATCGGAGATTTTGGGTCAATACAGAATTTGAGGAGGTTAGATTAATAGCCAAGAAATTTGATTGCGGACAAGGATATTGGTCAAATGTCTATCTGCCTTCCATTGGGAGATAAACCTAGAACTTCTTCATTTTGTATCCCAATTGTTGAGAGAAGTTGAAAAAAGGATCCACTCATGGAATCACACACTTATCCAAAGGGCGTCGCCTTGCTCTTTTGTAAGCAACGCTCTTGAATCTTCCCACATACTTTTTGTCTCTCTTCAAGATCCCATGGAAGGTTCCATTGAATATTGAAAGTCTGTATAGAGACATTTCCTTTGAAAAGGGAGCTCCTCTCAATCCAGATCACACTTAGCCAGATGGGAAAAAGTCACTAGATATACCTCCCATGGAGGCCTCGGTTTGCAATGATTGGCAGAAAAGAATATAGCTTTATCAGCCAAGTGAATCGGACGTATTATCACGAAGAGGATGCTTTATGAAGACAGGTTATTGATGCTAGATATGAGACACACTCACATTCCACGAAATTATTTTTATTGAGATGCCTAAGGAGCCCTGATATCACTTTCAACAACTACTTCTGTGTCCACACCTTTATTTTTGTCTCCTCCTCATCCCTTTCATTTCCCAAGTTCTAAGAAGACCTGTCACCTCTTCTGCTATTTTCTTTTGAGCAACACTACCTTTTTTCGCCGAAATCCTTATTAATGGTTTGATACATAGCTATTCTTTTCCAAAGTTTGCACTACCTCTTTGCTAATTGTGAAGCCCTCTGAATATTGAAATTCCTACTCTTTTTTTAATTGCCTTCGATTTCGGGGAGATTATTGCCATGGTTGACATGGTGTTCTCGTCCTTCCTCTCTTCCATTGAACTAGCACCTTCAATTGTCATGGCCATAATATCTAAGGATTCATCCGTTTGGAAATAACTTGGAAATCCTCCAGAACGAATATCTTCCATCATGCTCTCTTGAATTCCAAAAATTTTGTTCATTGTTCTAATGCTAGGACTTCATAAAGAAATTTCGGAACCTAGGTCTCTCTTGCTCTTCGTTTGGAGCTTCTTCCCATTGGGAGGGGTCTTTGTGAGTACTCGTGGATTGGATATATCCTATTTTAAAATGCTTTAACTTGGGCTTCTCGCCAAATGTGATTCGCGTTCTTTTCTTCGTGATTTAGATGGGCCATAAATGTCTTCGGTTGAGACATCCTTTGGAATCTCTTTTTCTTTTCCTTGCTGGGTTTCATCCTCTTTACCCTTTTCCTGTGGTCCATTGTATCCATTACCACATCCCCCATTTTGCAGTATAATTATGAATTGGAATTGTGGGCCGTATCTGATATCTTTATGGCGAGAGCATTCTGAACATTAACGCATGGGTGATTTGTACCTTCGATCCTTCATTTATCCATCAGACTAAAATTAGGATCCTTTGGTCCTCCATGAAAAACGTGAGCAGTGGTTGACGAGAAACTTCCATGAAGGTCGGCGACCCTATCCACAAGCATATTCTCCTCCTGGTATGTCCCCACATTATTGATGAGGCTAATATTTGACTAGTATAAACCCCCAATACTTATCCTTGATCTTAATGCCCACATCAAAGCAATCCATGAGCAAGGAGTTACTTCATAACCTTCCAAGCCACCATGACAGCCACAAATTGCTCTGAGTATCTTCAGGTTCAATGGAAATTGAAGAGGAATGTTATGAATTCTCACCCAACCACCATAATGGGATACTAACTTAATTCTACTATGTTTACAAACATCCCATCTCTCTAGCTTCAAAACAAACGGTCCAAATCTCATCCATTAGACACAAACGACCTTCTAAATCCTCATAATGGCATTTCAGGATGGCTTTATCCGTCTGAAAAATGTGTGAAAAATGAATGATGATAAGGTGCTCTTCAAGTCTTCCTTTCCTTTCTATCACCTTTAAATCCTCCTTCTTTGTCTTTTTCTCCCTCCCCGACCTTTCTGGGGGCGATTTTACAGCTTCTGCAAAATATTTCTCCTTTCTACACTTACGTTTTATTTCTCTTTGTTGCTCCGTTTTCTTTCTGTTGAGAAAATCTATTATCATTTGTTAAAAGGTCTTCCATCCACTGTATTCTTCTCCCGCTGGCACCACAGATTGAATTTTCCCCTTGAGTTAACTACTTTCGTGGTTTCTTAGTATCTCTCTTTTGTTTACAATTTTCTGAATCCAAATGAAGCCATTGTTGCAATTGTTTTTCCGGAAGAATTTTGGGAGTTGAGAACAAGAAGCAAGTCTCCAATGGAGTCTTTTATTCAGACAAAAACGATTTCTTCAACTAACAACATGAACTTTTTCCTATAATGCGGTTCTGTGATCTTAACCACCCTTTCTTTGAAGATTTACACAAAAAGAGCTTATTCTACACCTTTATCGTACAACAAAGTGAGTTTTTGTCTGGGTTTTTCCTTTGCAAGACATGTTTGAATAGGGAAGCTTTTTTTTTTTTTTTAATTCCCCACCCTCTTAGGAGTTTGAATCTTTTGAACATTAGTCTCTTTTCATTTCTTCAATGGAATGTTTGGTTTCTCATTAAGAGAATATAATAAGATGTATAAAGAATAACAATATTAGTCAACCACTAGTGTCACCTTAATGATGTATAAAAGCAAAAAACTTCGTTCTAAACAATCAAATATATCAAACTTAAAACAACGTCAAAATCAATCCCCCACAAAATTATACACTTCAAACAACATCATTCAGTCTTATTTTTCTCGAAAAATGTAATAGTCACGGTCAAAGTTTTATCGTGTTCACTTATTCAGGGTGTCTGTCCACCTCCACCATGCTTAAATGCAAGAAATATAAAGGTCTGGCACTCTGATTTAAATGTTTCAAGGTATACTGAAGTTCATGTTTTGACATATCCAAATATCTTACCAAATTTTGAGGTTTCAAGGTATACAATACAGCACATGTCAGACCCACCTTCAAAACTACTTTAAGCCAACAAGAGATCCCAAAACATACTCTTACTACAGATTTCAGAAAAGAAAATATAAGAAGCACTTTAACTTACCTGCAACTGATTGCGAACTAGTTCCAGCTTTGATTCCTGTAATTTTTCCACAAGGAAATCAACTTACAATGAAAGTATGTCAACGATATAGAGGAGGCTGGGAATCTTGAGAAATTATTTGAGGAAATTAAAAAGAGGAAGAGAAATTACTTGGTCCTGAAGCGCTTCTACAAGTAAGGAAACCAAAGAAGCCCTAGTTGCCTCAACACTTTCAAGTTGCCCAATACATTGTTGAACCACATTTTCCTGCTCTTGAAGGTCGTCCAGCAATGCTGATCTTGGTTGAGTTCCTAGTTTGGAAGGAAAGTACAAAGAAAAACTCTCTTACAATACTTCTCGAAGAAAGAGGTTTTACGACACAAACATAAAAATATAGCAAGGAGAATTCTGTATATATACTGGACAAAATAAGCCAAAGAATAGAATGACCACTGATCTACAAACTTTCATAAGAGGGAAATTAAGGCATTTAAAACGAAAATATGTATTAAATAAAAAAATGGGGTTCAGCATTTTATGGTAAGATGTCCCTTTGACTTGGCCAATGTTCCAAGATTGAAGATTTCAATCATTCTTTCTTAGCTTGCTCACTATGGCTCCAAAGGTTGAATCTTAGCATTCCCTCCATGAAGATTCAGCTACCTGTTTGATAGAATAGCTGCTAAATGTATTTCTATCAAATTGTATTTCTACAGTCATGTCATGCAGAATAGGCACGCTGTCATAACAAAAGTTTGGCAGGGAACCCCTTATACTTCATGTTCCTCTACAATCTTATTTTAGCTATAGAGATTCACGTCACATGCAATCAACCAAACTTTGACTTTAGCCATCTTCTAACAAGAACATTTGTCACTAGCGCGGAATGAGCTACAAAATTGTACCAACAAAGATGAAAAACAAAAGGGAAAGAAAAACAGAATTAGTCCATTCCGCATCTATAAAGCCCTCCATTACCATTTTATCACTCCCCTTTAAACAATAGTCCATTTGTAAGTATCCCTTTGGTGAATGCATAAACCAGTCATATATAAGGGGTCAGCTAAATCAAAAGATTTATACGCATTTCAAATTTTATAACAGAGGAAAGAGAAAATATGTTTTTCTTCTAAATAAATTGTTAGGAAATTCAAATCCCTTTTTAATAAATGTTGAACCTATTAGTTAACCTTCTTTGAAACAAGAAAAATAGGGGAAAAAAGAGTATATTTAGAAAAGTACTCTTTGTTTAAGATGGAGTTTCAAAATAGAACTACTATATGGCGGTAAACCATTTCAAATTAAATTCTAAATATTGAATGTATCCATCAAATTAGATACTTGTTCACTGTATTAAACGTATTGATATTTTTAGTTTATCATAAAACCCATA